GTTACCTACCTGAACCTATCAATGATGACGAGTTTTACAGAAGCTTCGTGTAACTGTTGCCGACAGTTTGATATCCCTTCAAAAAAGAATCTAAAATTTTACAAAGTCAGTATATTGGTGCTCAAAAAAAAAAAGTTACTAATAAGAAAAAAAGGACGAATAAAAAATAAAATTGTAAAATCTGGTAAAAATTCAACTAGACGATTTATTCATTTTCTTTTTTTTTTTTTTTTCGACTATATATGCATATAATCAAAATATGAACATTTTTTTTTTCAAGTTGTTGTCCTACTGGATAGCAGAAAGAGAAGAGGAAGGAGAAGAACCACAGAAGAACTCGCATAATCTCGCAAACACCTACACACATATAAATATACAGCATATTTGTACACTGGTATCTAATATCTGATAAAAATAGAAGTTAAACGGAAATGACATAGGTATCAATAACGTCGGTCCGGTTGCCTCATCTAACTAGACAACAACATCAGTAAAAATAAAACACCTAAGTAGAATTATCAGTTGAGTAACAGGGGGGGAAAAAAACAGGTCTTTTATTCAACTAATAAGTTTGTTGTCTTACGCTAACAGTCTTAGTCTAAGAATATATATTAGCATCAAGGTAATAAGATCGATAACGTTCACACAAACACATACACACATACACACACACACAAACCCACACACACACACACACACTCAGCTACATAGACAAACTATTAAAGCACAAATAAATACATATAATGAATAAATACACATACATAAACATATATAAATATTCGTCCATCAACCACTAATTTCCAGTGACGGTCACAAGCAGCCATAGCAAAAAAGAACAGCAACGATAAGAAGCAAATATATGTCAACGTCAAGATATTTATGCGCCATTATCGGTTAATTCACCGTTGTCGTATGTTGTTTCCGAATCTGTTGGCCGTTTTCAGCGGTCACAGGAAACACCCCATTTACACCATACATAATGCTGAATGACTCCCAGCCATAGAACCGACTAGGTTAATGAGGTGCCTCAATGATGGCAAGCAGGGTGCTTAAATTATTCTACAACACTCAACGGGAACTTCCTTTACCTCACCTCCTCCTCCTCCTCCGCCTCTTCCTTCTCAAATTAATCTCAATTCTAGCAGAGAAAAAAAGATGAACATGCATACATGCGCAGTGAGTGTATATCCAAATTAGAGAAACGCTTACAACTTTGTAAATTCGCTATCAATACCTTCGTCATCAACAACTATAACAGCTAAAATCAATTGCCAAAACCAAACCTCGGTCTTTTTTTTTTCCACTCTTTTTTTTTAGTTATGTCTCATTACGTCACTACAGCAATAGTTTCATTCCTAATAATTGAAAAAAAAAAAACTGCAACAACAACTATAAGGGATATGAAGACAACAACAACAACAACAACAACAACAAAAATGTAGTTAAAAAATTGAATGACAAATCAATTTGGCTATTCAGAACGTATCACAATACATTCAATACCTACAAACAAATAAATACAATATAAAACACAAAAAATGACAATATTCAACAGAAATACATACCATCTATCTGTCTATCAATCCCGTTTCTAATGTCTCAGTT